AAAACAGTTCAAAATCTGTTTAGTAGTTTTGGAGTTTGTCGCGAATAGAAACTGAATTCGTTTAAATCATAGCACAGATCATATCAATAATTCATAATTATTATCATAAGTAAAAACAACTCTTAGTCACTTATGCTATGAATCTCATATCACAAAGTGGAAGACCCATGGCTCAACGGGCTTGACTGGAGTGATACCAAGACCATCATAGAAAAGGGTGGAGAAGGGTAGGGCCTCTGGTAACCTCACTCACACGGCGAAACACAACGCTGGGGTTGTTTCAAGTTTTCCTGTGAGACCGTGGTATCACTGGTCGAGCCAGCCCATTTGTGACACTTAAACTCGACCGATTGGCGATTATCATCGAATAGAGACCTAGCTAGATACCTAATTACTCGCTCTATTGATTTGTTGTACTACAAACAGTTGAAGCTCATGTCCAATTAACAGCAAAATCGTCTTTATTACAATAGGATAGAGCTTCTTGTTATTGGATTTCATTAAGCTGTAGTCTGTCCAGTGTACATGAGCGATATGGCTTCAGGAATTAGGTGGTCTGGCCACCTATACAAGGTGCATTAGTATTTATTTATTTATTTTCTCTTTATTGTACACCATAAAAATATATAGAGAAAAGCTTTTTTTTATGTAATGGACCGGCAAACGAGCAGACGGATTACCTGATGGTAAGCAATCAGCGCCGCCCATGGACACGGAGGAGTTACGAGTGCGTTGCAGACGTCTTAGGGATTAGTGTTTTGGAGATTAAGGGATTGAGGAGGGATTGGGGGAGGGGAAGGATAGGGCCTCCGGTAACCTTACTCACACGGCGAAACACAACGCTGTGGTTGTTTCACGCCGGTTTTCTGTGAGGCCGTGGTATCACTCCGGTCGAGCCGACTCATTCGTGCCGAAGCAGTGCTCTCCCACACTTGAGAAACCATGTACAATGGGCAGTCTTATTGCTAAATGCCATTTCTTACAGACAACCATTTAGACTTATTTGGGAGAGCCATGGTTTGGGTCAAGATAAGGTCTATATAGGTTTAGGTTACTAAATGTAAACGAATCTTAGTACATTTTCTTATCTAAAATTAACCTTTATAAATTACTAGCTATTCTCACGCGGCTTCACCCGCTTCTCGGCTCCATTTGATCGTAACGTGATGCTTTATAGCCTATAATATTTAATGAAATATTAGCTACTCTCGCGCGGTTTCACCCGCAAGTTTATAGCCTATAGCACTCAGAAACATTGTAGCTATCTATCAGTGAAAGATAGCTACAATGATGAAAAAGTTTTGACAATCCGACCAGCGGTTCCAAAGATTACCCCCTACATACAAACTTACAAATTTTACCTCTTTACAATATTAGTATAGATATGTTAAGGTGTAAAACAAAATTTAATATACTTTGTATGTATTTCATATGACTATGTTAACATAAAAAGATATGGTAAGATAATTTGTTAACTTTAGTAAACCACCTAAAGCAATGGAGCTTAGTTTTAGTGTGTTTTATGAGTCAGGTTACAGGAGGCCCAATTAATCTAACTAAGCAATGAGGCATAGGTTAAGGTGCATATATAATGTGTCACTTAGTGCAAATAATACGAACAGTAGTTATAATTAAAACAACAAACATTTTATAATATTACAGGACGATGACGGTATTTAATTACGTCACTAAGTTATATTGATTACTTATTTCTAAGTAATTTATTAGATACTAGCTACTCTCGCGCGGTTTCACCCGCTGCTCGGCTGCATTTGATCGTAGCGTGATGTTTTATAGCCTATAGCACTCAGGAACATTGTAGCTATCTATCAGTGAAAGAATTTTGGCAATCCGACCAGCAGTTCCAAAGATTACCCCCTACATACAAACTCACAAATTTTACCTCTTTATAATATTTATTACATAAAAATTATGTATTGATGACGATTCTGGTGACAGGGTTTATATTAATCATGTAATAGAAGGCAAACAAGCAGACAAGTCACCTGATGGGAAGTGATCAGCTCTACCCATGCCCAAGTCTGCATGGACGAAGTCAATTAGGTAGTTTCCTAGGTCAAAAATAAATTAATTCGATGTTTCAATACAATAAAATATTGAAAAATAACTATACTTTTATTCATCGATCGATTGATACACCAAGTTTTTGATTTTTTTAACTAATTATTGTGAAATAAGTAAGCTATTTGATGCAAAAATGTTATTACATAGCTCAGTTTTTCATACAAATTTCATAGAAATGTATCGTTTTGACGTTTGGATAAAAGTATTGAATTTGACTAGTTGGAAACTACCGTATTGTTTACCATCAGGTAATGTATCTGCTCGTCTGCTGATAGATACCATTAAAAATCACATTATAAGCATTGTGTGAGGCCATCGGTTCCAAATTCCCTAACATTTTTTTCCAAATAATATAATTTCTGTCTATTTCTCAGCAGTAAAGTTGGGGACGCAACATAATCATATTATCAAGCGAAAATTCTCTATTTATCTACTCAAGGCAGAGATAACGGCGATGGTACTCGAGATATCAGACTCTTAGAGATAAGAGATAACTTGAAAGATATCTTCTGAAAGTAGGTTTCCAGTACCTAATGAAAGTTTTTCATTTTTATTCCATTGCAATAGGGTTGACTGCAAATAGGTTCAGATTCCCCAGGGCCGGGCGGGAGGGAGTGTCAGACTCTTACTGACTAAAAACCCCCCTGTTCTTTCTCCTGCTCTGAGCCGAGGTTGTGATGCCTCATTGCGCTTACCCCTCCACCCCGGCTGAACATCAGCCCTATAGGGCCCTGTGTGGTCTGTGGTGGTCTACAGGCTCTTTGAGGCGCGCGCGGAACGCTACGCGCCGTACGCTCGGGAAGAGAATGGGGTGGGTTTTCATTTAGTAAGAGGCTCAAACACAGGAAGCTAGATGATGCCCCAAAAACTCTTTTAGCCACTGTAAAACTTATTTCCCTTAAGGGAAAAAAGGAAGGGTGCTTTTTTCACTAAAAGTAAGAATAAGAAAATCATTTATATCTTAGTACATGGTGCACACAGGTCTTAACATTAATATAGCTCCACATATACTATGTTTACTGGTGTAGAAATATAAAAGCTTAAAATTAAATCAATTAATAAGGTTTTAATCAGTTTTAGGTATTCTTATAGGTTTGTATGTGAAAAAAAATCTGTTTAAACTGACCTATTACACCATTTTTACTGTATATAAGTATACAGTACTAATATCAACTGAAGCTACAACATTTAATAATTACTATTTAATTATCAAACATATAAAACCTTACATTTTTCTAATTGATAAGTTACTTTATTATTTCATTAATAAATTCCAATTTAATTTGTTTTGAAACACAAATTAATACAAGTTAAGCTATTATTGCATTATTGAGTAACAAAATTAATGGTTTTGTGGTAAGTGTGTCACATATATTTTTTAATTAAACAGCATTTTTACTTCTCACATACCTATCAACTAATGAGGCAGGAAATTTAAGGATGTACATTATTTTTTTATTTCAAAGGTTTGGCACAAAAAAAACCTCTCAGGGTTTATCTGTGTGCTGGCGAGCCATTCTTTTAATTATTATTATTACAATTGACGTTAGCATACAGTAATATTTTCTTTATCAAAGCTGGAAGTCATTTGGAGAGGTCAATATTTTACAAAATTTTAGGTAAACTCACAGCTGATCAAGTACAGTATAGTTCAGTTGTAAAAAACATTAATAAGGCCAATTACAAGTTTTCACATAATTATATGAAAATATGTATAGGTATACATATAATATAGGAAGTAGGCAGAGAGAAAACAACTTATATTGAATATAAATTACAAAGAAACAAAAAGAAGCTTAATTTAAGTTATTGAAGAAGTTGTTTATAAGAATATCTTTACATTAGATTAACATACATTACAAGAATAACATATTTACATTAGAGTTAAAAAAGATCCATCTCAATGTCCCAGCCAGTTAAATCTAATTGAATGTTCAGAAGAGAGCATCTTTTGACCGGTCTACGGTTAATGCTGTTTCTCAAATCAATCATAGTTATAGTCTATAGATATTTAATCGAAAAGTAAAGTAGAAATAATTTGTATTACGTCTGAGGAAACTTATCAATGTAATATTATGTATGTTGATACTTGAAAATGTAGTTAATTAATATATGTGTGATAAGTATGTATGTTATAAAAGTTAATATCAACTGTGTATCCTGTCGGATGACTCACAAACACTATAATTGACTTGATTAAATACTTAAACATAATTTTATGTGGTAATTTTGGAGTTATACTTCTATTACATTACTCAAAATCATAGAAAATACTCTCTGAATAAAACTAATCACCAGCAGACTAGTTGAAAACGAGTATTTATTTTAATTAGTGCCACTAATACGCGCTAATTGGCCGTAATGGGCATAGACTCGATTCAAACTCTCATTTTTCAAATACTTTAAACAGACATAGAAACTAATCGCTTATTACCTCGTTTTGTAGCTCTCAAAACTTTCGATTATCGATCTGGCACACTGCAATATCACAACACTGCAATCCAAATACAAGAAAACACAAACACTGCAACGTTTGTTAGAGAAATTAGTGAAAACGCGAGGCGACCGCGCCTGGCCACTAATTAAGTTAAAACACGTTCTACGTACGGGGTAATATTTGTACATATAACACTTTAGCGAACCCGCAGACGGTGCGACGCGCGACAAGAATGAGGAACCGACAAAAGTGAAGAGCTGAACCAACCTCGCAATTGCGTCCTCGACTCAAAAAAAACCTGTTCCCTCAATCCTCATTCACCTACTAATCTAAAGAACGGGGCTTCCGTCCGCGATAATTCAATATCCACGCGCCACAGACACTGCTTTACAAGAAACTAACGCAACTTTTTACGTCGACTTCCCGATAATACGACGATTATCAATATTAAATATACGATAGGTGAAAGGAGACATACCTTTGATGGAGCTCGTTTAGATGTGTCGAAACAATATCCAATGAGTCCGTAGTGAAAAAAAATACACTTCAACACTAAATAGTCGTTCACAAATTGTTATAACCACTAACAAATAGTTACACCCACGATTTTAGGAAACGGTATTCAGTATGCGGCGGATAAGCGCTAGCCCGTAAAAGACGCCATTTTGATTTCGTCAACTAAAGGCAATAGACAAGATAGACTGAAACGTTTCATTATTGCTAAAGATTTGAATATTTTTACAAGAAAACTATTGTAAGAACCGCCAATTTGAAATACTGATTATATCTAATGATAAAAAATTACTTCAGCTTATACTAAATATTCAGACTTTGATTAAAAAAGGTCCAACCAAAATAGGACAAGTCAAATTAATGACAATTGTAGGCTTAGTAGTTTAAGAAACTAAACGTAGACGTGAATTTTTTTGGTCACATGGTGTAAAAACAATATTCATTTTGATTACAACGGATTTTAATTTTGCAGACATTGATATTTAATTATGAAGACAAATTTTATTACATGTATAATAAGGCTCGCTAGTAAAAATGTTTTTTAGGTTGGAAAGAATTAAAAAATTTTTGTAACAACAATGTTGTTTATGGTATCAAGAATACCATACACCAAAATTACCCCGAAATATGGGAATAATTGGTTTTCTCAAGCAATGTTCTTCTATTTTTATAACAAAACATACAATGTAGTAAAGTTCTGAAGGGAACAAACAACATAATCAACGTGCTAAAATTTGGTCACTTCTGTTTTTAAAGACAACATTAGAACAACACATAAATAAATAAATTATATCATTTTGTCAAAGTCTGTCTGTCCTAAGTAAATTCCTATGAAGAAGATCTAGCAATAAACTCCATGGTTACTCTATTTGACAATAATTCATTTCTTGGTGTTGTTACCGTTTCTTCCCTACAATTTTTTTTATAACATTTTAATGTAATCCGAAGAAGACTTTGATCTTAATTAATCGTATCAGATGACCTATCCCAAGCAAGTGGTGGATGTATGTATGTAAGAATAAAACAGTCAAAACAGTTAGGTGCAGTTTATAATATTAAAATCTTAATAAAATTAAATAAACAACATTCAGGGAGGGTCATTGCAGCGTTAGAGTGGTTTGAAGAAATGGGCAATTATTATTAGATTTGTCTTGTATGATCATCTTTTTGCTGATTTCGTATCAATAAAACTGAATTGCAGCACAATAATTGAGTTTTTGTGAATCTACAGTGATTCAAACTGTAAGAAAAATATTTATTCTTCATTAGAAACTAGTTACTAGCTTATCTAAATGAGCAGCACAATCGTTGAATCGGTTGAATAACGTCGTTTGGTAGGGTAATAAAAATTTAGAGCTGTAACCCCAAAACCAATTGTCAAATAAAGGTAGCAAGCAGCTGTGATATACGTGTTTTTATTTATTAATATCTCGATAATGTGCGTTTAAGACACGAAAATTAAATGTGAAACGCGAAATAATCATGTCGAGCCGTCGTTCGATACTCGGATCGGCGCTTGACGCTCTACCACCGCCATCAGATCCTCTTCGCGAATTATTTGAGGCATGTAAAACTGGCGATGCTGTTCGAGTAAAAAAGTTAATTACTCCACAAACGGTGAATGCCAGGGACACGGCTGGACGAAAGTCGACTCCTCTACACTTCGCTGCAGGTAATTAAAAACAAACAATCCAGTGAAACGCGTTAATTTTATCACATAAGACGTTTTTTGAAAAACTAGTGAAAGGACTGTCTTTAATAGGAAGTGAATAGTATTCATTTAAAAAATTGCATAATTAGTAACGCCAGTCGATTGGCGTTTCGTGTTTTATGCCTTTTGTTGTGTTTTATTTGTTGCTTTACTGACATAATGTTGTGATGACGAAATTTCTTTTTGGGAACTCAAAAATTTTGTTGTTCACGTAATATGTTGCACGCTCTAGTTATTTTCGCGTTTCTTATCACGATATATTCGATGTGTTTTGTAGTAGGCAGTGTTATGTGATCAGTGCGTGAAAAGGATTAGTTTTGGTAGGCTGTTTCTTTGTTTTTTTTTTAATGTGTTGTCTATTGTCTAGTGCTTGTTGTGCCTATTCTAAGGGTAAGGTTTTATTACATCTTTCGCCTTATATTAATTGTGACCTTTCCTTCTGTTAATCCTGTCTTTTTATGCATAAATATGGATTATGTGTATTAATTGAATTTTTAATAGAAAGTTTCTATAAAATTTATACCATTGTTGTTTCCAATTTCATCAATATTAATACAGCTGTTTAGACAATATGTACCAAATCAAACAAACACAATCTTTCCACAGTTCTACATGTCATACAGCTTGCTGCGTGTAGTAGTTACAAGCTGTCTGTTGTCTGTCGGTCACTTAGTCACTAGTAACGGAAGAGTTTATAATCTGTAGACAACAATGATCTCCATCACAAAATCATTCATCATCATCAGGTGAAAGATTTTCAATGTAGAGCAAAGGCAAAACTATTTTTTGGAGTTTCTTGCTCGTTCAAATCCAAATCTACATTTTGGAACGAGCACCTAGTTTCACTGACAAAGTGACTGACAGACTATAATAATATTCTACTTTGACATTCCAAAAGCACCTGCTTATGCTTTAGTAGGAATTTTGTCTTTGACTTATTAAAGTCAAAGACAAAATCTAAAATTGAACCAAGAAAAATATTTATTTTTCTATTTCTTTGCAAAAGTTTATTCAGTTAACATTGGTGTGGGTCACATGTTTACAAACCTTTATTACTTTAGTGTGTTGTTTATCGAAATTGAAACACACAACTTTTCTATGTCCTAATAAAATGAAATAAAATAAAACTCATTGATAGAAAATAATAAAAAAATTCAATCTAAATTGAAGAAAAGTATAACTTGGTGTTACTAAGTAGAATTAATTATTCAAGCAGCTGATTCAACACATCATAGATTATAAATGTTAAACATTAATTTACTTACAAGCTTTATTTCCTACTAGCTCTTGCCTGTGGCGTCACTCCCGTCATTTGACTACCTACCCTACTCTACCTACCCTACTCGACCTACCCTACCCTACCCTACCCTACCTACCCTACTCTACTTCACTGCTCTATGTACCCTACACTACCTACCCTACTCTACCTACCCTACTCTACCTACCCTACTCTACCTACCCTACTCTACCTATCCTACTCTACCTACCCTACTCTACCTACCCTACTCTACCTACCCTACACGACCTACCCTACTCTATCTACCCTACTCTACCTACCCTACACTACCTACCCTACTCTACCTAATCTATGTATGTCCTTCTCATAGCTCTAAACTACCTCCCTGCCCATTTCCAGCTAAATCGGTTCAGCCGTTCTTGAGTTATAAGAGTAACTAACACGACTTTCTTTTATATATATAGATTGAGTATAGATTCAATTGATATTTTTATTCATATTCTAAACTGAATGGTAGATGCGGTTGTTCGTTCAATTGATATAAAAAAATTTATTGTTGATGTGTGTTCTTAGAGTATGGAGCCTCCCATAATCTCAATCAAGTGAATTAAGAAAACAATCATACAAATAAAAAGCACAAAACACTGTTATGCTGGTTTTCTGTAAGGCTGTGATACCACTCTGCTTAACCATACCCATTACATATCACTTTTTGTACATAGAAAAACAATGACAATATTTTTTGAATCACATAAAGATTTGAACCCAGGACTGCATCAAACTTCAAGTCAATTATTATGAATGTTAGTAGTAAGTAGTCTTAGTAGTGTAATAAGGGTCATCTCTAAATCTTATGTATAAAAATGGATCACAAAATGTGTTGGTAAGCGCATAACTCAACAACGCCTGGACCAATTTTGATAATTCTTTTTTTGTTGTGTTTCTTATTGTCAGGAGAACATTCTTATTAAAGAAAATATTAGAAAAGTAGGAAGAAGTGACCTTTTGATAGTGAGATAGTTGGACCCGTGCGAAGCAGGGGCGGGCCGCTAGTCTATAATATATAAAAGAAAGTCAAAAGTGTTAGTTACTCCACTTATAACTCAAGAACGGCTGAACCGATTTAACTGAAAATCGGCAGGGAGGTAGTTTAGAGCCAGGAGAAGGACATAGGATAGATAGAGTAGGTTAGGTAGTGTAGGATAGATAGAGTAGGGTAGGTAGTGTAGGGTACATAGAGTCGGGTAGATAGAGTAGGGTAGGTAGAGTAGAGTAGGTAGAGTAGGGTAGGTAGGGTAGGTAGAGTAGGGTAGGGTAGGTAGGGAAGGTAGGGTAGGGTAGGGTAGGTAGGGTAGGGTAGGGTAGGTAGGGAAGGTAGGGTAGGTAGGGAAGGTAAGGTAGGTAGGGTAGGTAGAGTAGGGTAGGTAGGGTAGGTAGAATAGGCTAGGTACTCAAATGACGGGAGCGACGCCGCGGGTAAGAGCTAGTATAGTATAAAACAGATTTGCTTTCCCTGTCCTAAAACGATGCAATGGTTTTTGATTCGGTTTTTTAATAGACAGAGAGATTGAAGAGGAAGGTTTACATGTGTAATAACATCCATTAAATAGTGTAGGAATTTTGTATGACCATTGCATTCGTAATTAAGCGTGGTTCTCCTACATTTCTAGTTTTTCCTTTGTCACTATTTCTTCTGGCGCGAAACCTTCCTTATTTTATTTTTTTGGTGTCGTAATGGAAAATCCTCATGGAGACCCATCGCCCTCGGGTAACGCCGAAGGTACTGTCAGACTCTTACTGACTAAAAACCAACCCGGTGTTCTTCCAATAATCCATGTGTCGGAGGGGCGGGTATCGCCGAAGCATTCGTCGTCATATCATTTTCAAAATATGTAGGCATGACTCATAGATAACTGATAAACGTGTAGAATTCTGGATATTATATAGTTGCGTGTTTCCTTAAATATGTATATGTTTTGTAATTGGCAACGGGGGATTTTTTTGTCAGGGGAAAATATGTGTATTATTGAAATCCGACCAGCGGTTCCAAAGATTACCCCCTACATACAAACTTACAAACTTTACCTCTTTATAACATTAGTATAGATATAGATTATATAGATGAAAATTTAAATTGAGTAACATATATTTTGCATATTTTAATTTATTTATATTAAAATTGTAATGCTTTATGTAATATATGTTATCAATATATTATGTAATAATTAACAAAGGAATTGATGATTTTAGAATAGAAATCATGATTTTTATGTAACATATTGATCAATAGAGATAAATTAATCAGATTGAATATCTTTTGTTAGCTATACCTAGTCTAGCCATAAATACTGTAACAAATAAAAAAAAATCTATTGCAAAAACATTTATTACTTTTACAGTATGTAAGTTTAATACATAAATATAAAACAATTTAAAACATAAAAAGCTTATTCTAAGTGGTCTCCATTGACTGCAATACAGTCCTTTAAACGTTGAGGCAAATTCTTCACTGCCAATCGTATGGATTGTTTTAGGGAGTCCAAATTATCATGACGTCATGACGATTCTTTTTATGGCTAGACTAGGTATATATCTATAATATATATAAGAAAGTCGTGTTACTTACACTATTTATAACTGAAGAACAGCTGAACCGATTTGGCTGAAAATTGGTAGGGATGTAGTTAAGAACTGGGAGAAGAAGAGAAGGGTAGGTAAAGAAGGGTGGGCAAAGTAGGGTAGCGTAGGTAGAGTAGGGGAGGTAGTCAAATGACGGGAGCGACGCCGCGAGTAAGAGCTGGTTCTTAATAAAAATCACGAATAACTACAAGCTTCATTAAATAATGTTTCGAATAAATGCTCTCTTTTGAGGGGCAAAACGAAGTGTGGAGTCTCAGACTCTTAAAATACTATCTCCGTTCTTTCTGCTCAAGCAGGGCCACGGTATATTATTAAGCTTGACCCGTAATCCTGGAAACGTACTTAACTAGCTACTCTCGCGCGGTTTCATCCGCTGCTCAGAAGTCATTTGATGATTTTCCCCTCACAAAAAAATCTATGTCTGTACCAAATTTCACACAAATCGGTTCAGTAGTTTAGGCGTGAAGTAAAGACAGACAGACAGAGCTACTTTCGCATTTATAATATTAGTTTGAACTAGCGACCCTGTTGGGTAGGTAGGGTATTTGGTCACCGGTAAACTCAATCACACGGCGAAACGCAACGTTACTGTTGTCTCAAGCCGTTTTTCAGTGAGACCGTGGTATCACTCCGGTCGAGCTGACCCATTTGTGCCGAAGCATACCCATCCGTTGTCGACACTTTAATGGACTAGAATACAAATTTAATATTGTTGTAGAAAAAAAAAACGGATTTACTTCTTGTATTTAAGAAGTGAAATCGTTGTGTAACAAACAAGATCAGATCAGATCCATCACTGTAAATATCTTCTGTTTGCTGACGACCTCAAAATCTATAAAACTATAACTTCCAAAGATGATACAACGCTAATTCAGGATGACTTGGATAGAATTGATCAATGGTGTTATCTGAATCTCATGAAACTTAATGTACAAAAATGTAGCCATATACGATTTACAAGGAAAAAACAAACGAACACTGTATCATATTATCTAAGTGGAGCTTTGTTGGAAAACGTGAACGAAGTTCGTGATCTTGGCGTTATCATGGACAGTAAAGTCAACTTCAGAAGTCATATAGATAGCATCGTTACAAAATCTGCACGGCTACTAGGTTTCCTTAAGAGGAGTACCAGAGGATTTAAACTGGTTAGAACAAAAGTAGTGCTGTATAACGCATTAGTTCGTAGCCACCTGGAATTTGCCAGTGTAGTTTGGAACCCGCACTATGCTGTACACTCACAAAGAGTGGAGAGCATACAAAGGGCCTTCACCAAGCACTTGGCATATACCTTCGGTAATATATCACCACGGTGTCCATACGAACAACGTATTAAACGCTATGACATGACTACTCTACGTAACCGACGACTGACGCAGGATCTTATGTTCCTTTACAAATTGGTCAATAATAAGCTGGACTGCTGCAAGTTGATTGAGCAGATAGGTCTTAAAGTACCACATAACATACCTAGATATCCCATTACACACCTATTCCACACAAAAGCATCGAACACAAATTTAGGAGTAAACTCGCCTCTCAATAGACTTGCCCGAGAGATGAATTATTTTATAAAATCCGTTCCAAATGTTGACATATATCACGATTCTGTAAAAGTCTTTAAAACCCAAATAATATATTGAATCCCGAACCTCACCACTTAATCAGTTATGTTTCTGTTAGTATGTAATGTAAGTTTAAGTAGAATTAAGTATTTCCTACTGATCTCATTCCTTGCATTTCTGTATACCTACCTACTTATTTTCTAATTTGATGTTCCATTTCATTGTTTAATTATATTACAATTCTAATATTGTTATAATATTTTTTATATAATTCTAATTATGTTATTGTAATAGATAGTTTCGTTCTTACTCTACTAGGTTATCACTTTATTTTTAAGAATGCTGGTTACCTGTAATTGGCGACTGTATAAGGCCAAAACCTAATATTTCATTGTTTTATTTAATTTGCTATATACAGAAGCTGTTGGTGTACCTTTATTAAATAAATAAATAAACAAGGTCAAGGATAATTCTCTAAAGAACAAAAGATTGTAAATTTTATATTACCTAAGTCTGTTATTTTTTTAACGTGTTCTTTTTTTTAATACATACTTCCTCTTTGGTCGAGTGGTCGTGGTTTTTAATGTTATATGGCGGCTAACGAGCTGACGGATTACCTGATGGTAAGTAATCGGCGCCGCCCATGGATTCTGATCTGATCTGACTGCACGGTTATTGCGATGGCTGGGCAACTGGCTGCCGTACCACGTGTCCCAAGTTCGATTGCCGCACGGAACAACAGTTTGTGTGATCCACTAATTGTAGTGGGGCAATGTTTAAAAAAATATCCGCTACACCAAACGAGTTACGAGTGCGTTTACTTTTTTGAGGGGAGACAGAGGGATTGGGCCATCGGTAACCTAACTTACACAGCGCTGTAATTGTTACCCGCCGGTTTTCTGTGAGACCGTGGTATCACTCCGGTCTCGACCTATTCGTGCCGAAGCATGGCTCTCCCACACTTAAATGAATTCATTTTTCTAGGATACGGTCGCAGGGAAGTTGTGGAGATTTTGATAGCAGCCGGGGCGGCTTTGCAAGCGCGTGACGATGGAGGCTTGCAGCCGTTGCATAACGCCTGCTCCTTCGGCCACGCCGATGTGGTGAGGGCTTTGCTCGGAGCCGGGGCCGCTCCAGCCGCCAGGGACAATTGGGGGTACACGCCGTTACACGAAGCCGCCGCTAAGGGAAAGGTCGATGTGTGCATTGGTAAGTTGAATTTGAAAATAGAATATCATTATTGGGTAGTTTCCTAGGTCAAAAATAAATTAATTTGACGTTCCAATACAATAAAATATTGAAAAAGAAATATACTTTTATTCATCGATCGATCGATACACTCACTGCCGGTTTCCGAAAGGCCGATCAATGTTAAAATCAATTTAATCTCTTGTCAAGTCATCTGATTGGTAGACTGAATTATCAACAACCAATCAGATGACTTGACAAGTTTAACAGGAGATTAGTTAATTTTAACGTTGACAAGCCTTTCAGAAACCGGGTGTAAATGTTAGATATTTGCTAATGTTAGATATTAGCTAATTTTTAAGAAATAAGTAAGCTATTTGACGCAATCATACTATGACGTCGTAACTCAGCGTTTCATACAAATTTCATAGAAAAGTATAGTTTTTGACATTTGGATAAAAGTATTGAATTTGACTAGTTGGAAACTACCGTATTGTCTGTACGGTTGATGCTGTCGCCAAACAGGCTACAGGCTATAAGTACGTATATAAGTTGGATTCCCGCACGAAACAACTCTTTGTGTGATCCACAAATTGTTGTTCCGGGTCTGGGTGTGATGTGTATGTGGAATTGCATTTTTTTATACGCAAGATACAGGAGATAAATGCAAGTGTCGAGCTACGTTTTTTTTTTCTAAATCATCATCATCAGCCCATAAGTGACCACTGCTGAGCTAAGGACTCTTTTCAAACGGAGAAGGTTTGAGCATTAATCAACACGCTTGCTCAATGCGAATGGCGATTTCAAACTAATAATTTGAAATTATAAGTCCAGGTTTCCTCACGATGTTTACCTTCACCGTATGTCAGTGGTGTCTAAATAATCATAGAAAGTACGTATTATAACTTGGAAAAAGTCACTTTGGTACTTGCCAGGTTTCGAACCCTCACACCCTCATGCATGAGAAGCGGGCTCCTTAACCTCTGGGCTACCACGACATATTTTTCTAAATATTCCATCAGTAATTTGCTAATCTCCAAAACTACTGGTTCGATTTTAATAAATTCTTCTTTTGTGTTGGATAGTCCATTTATAAAGAAATAAATTAATTGTTGTTCTAAGTCTTGTGAATGTGAAATTGTATGTTTGTAAACGCACCCACGATACATGAGAAAACCTAGTATGAAAAAAAGAATTTTTTTTTTTACTTGCAATAAACCAGTGCTTGACTGCGATCCCACCTGACGGTAAGCAGTGATGCAATCGTTGATGGTAAGGCGCACTAGTTTATTAAGAGCCTATTCACTCTAGCCTTGAAGACACCTAAATTGTATTCGGACGGAAAGACTGCAGCCGGCAAATTTGAAGTAAAATTGATTAATTCATATTTTTATTTTTAAAATAGCGTTGCTGCAACACGGTGCTGATCCGAATATCCGCAACACGGAAGGCAAGACCCCGCTCGACCTAGCAGACTCCGCTACCAGGCCTGTGTTGACAGGTGAGAATTCAACCAGGAATTATACCTATGTGACCAATATTTTTTTTTTGGATAATGTGACAAATTAGCAGCCGGATTACCTGATGGTAAGCAATCAGCGCCGCCCATTGACAAACACCAGAGGAGTTGCAAGTAAGTAGCCGTAACCCGTTAAAGTGTGGGAGAGCCAAGCTTCGGCACGAATGGGTCGGCTCGACCGGAGTAATACCACGGCTGCACAGAAAACCGGCGTGTTTCCCGTGTGGCGGACGCCCAATCCCTCGCCCTCCCCCATCCATTTCAAATAAATATGCGCAAGCCTTATCCCCAAAAGACCGGCAACGTACTCGTAACTCCTTCGGTGTAGCGGGTGTCCATGGACGGCGCCGATTGCTTACCATCAGGTAATCCGTCTGCTCGTTAACAGACCGGAAAAGTATTAATTTACGCCTTTGTCTTATTGTTGATAAGCTATTTAAGGTCTTCCCTAAACAATAAAAAAATCTCCTCTTTCCAGGTGAATACTGTGCAGCGGATGTCCTAGAAGCAGCTAGGTCGGGAGCCGACGACCGACTAGCGTCCCTGCTTACCCCTCTAAACGTTAACGTTCACGCTAGCGACGGCAGACGATCTACTCCATTGCATCTCGCCGCTGGGTATAATAGGGCAAGGGCTGTAAGATTACTGCTGCAACGAGGCGCCGATGTGCATGCTAAAGATAAAGGGTAAGTTTTTTCATGTAAAAAGACCGTGGTCTACTCGAAAGACCGCGGTCTATTCAGTGAAAAGACCGTAGACTACTACAAAAAAGTGATTTAAGCATATTTATGATAAGTGAGTATGTTGTGGTCTTCAGAAAAGACTCCGATCTTCTCAATAAACATATTAGTGTAGCATCGAAATCAATGAAAAAAATGTGGCACACTTTACTACCTTCTGAGAATTGATCTGACTAAATGTCTGACCCTTATTTTACCCCTTTAAATTAATTATTTCTTTAACCCCCCCTTTTTCCCCCCAGAGGTCTAGTCCCTCTCCACAACGCGTGTTCGTACGGACACTACGAGGTCACAGAGCTGTTGGTACGTGCCGGGGCCGATGTCAACGCGACAGACCTTTGGGCCTTCACGCCTTTACACGAAGCAGCAAGCAAAGCCAGATTGGAGGTATCGTGGAACAATATTTTCTTGTTTTTTATATATACGGTAAACGAGCGACGAGTAGACGGATTACCTAAGCAATCAACGCTGCCCGTGGACACCCGCAAAAACAGATTTACCAGTGCGTCGCCTACCATTTGGAGATTTAGGGATTGGGGAAGGATTGGGCCTCCAATAAACTCACTCCGGACAGTTTCAAATAATAATAAAAGTCAAAGTCAAAATCAAAATCATTAATTCCAACTAAACCATAAATGGATCATAATTATAACGTATTTTTTTCTAGAGAAGTATTGTTCATCATAGTAGTAATGGATTTGAACGGCGTGAAGTCATCATGTCATGTCCCATGTCCGTTCTGACGTTGGGGCATGTGTCTTGTCGGGGGCAAATCTAACACACCGCCATCTGTGCATAAAACCATAAAACATTTCATCATTTAAAAGAGTAACCACGGAGTTTCTTGCTCGTTCTTCTCCATTCGAATTTACACTTTGGAACGAGCACCTAGCTTCACGGACGAACAGACTGACTGACAGAAGGTTGAATAAAAAAATTTCCCTTTCTCTTTCTTACCCTTTTTGTGTCCTTATGGTCTTATAGCAGGTACTATGCCCGCGAGAAGACCAAAGGTTATATTATTATATACTCTGTCTCAACATACGGCCATCCCTTTCTACCTCTCTGAAACATATGTATGATGATTCTCCAGGTATGCTCCCTCCTCCTAAGTGAGGGGGCGGACCCCACCCTGCTGAACTGCCACGGGAAGTCGGCGCTGGATGTAGCTCCTACCAGGGAACTGCAGGAGAGGCTGGCTTGTGAGTATTGAGTGAAAAAAATATTATGGAACGAGTAGACCGATTACCTGATGGTAAGCAATCTGTGCCGCCCATGGTCATCTGCAACACTCGAGGAGTTACGAGTGCGTTGTCGGCCTGGAGCACTAGAAGGAACGCAGGGGGTTAGTCATTAAGAGTCTGACACTAACGCGCGTTCATTTGATGATTTTCGCTGATTTAGGGATTGAGGTAGAGAAAAGACTGGCGCTCCTCTAACCTCAATCATAAGACGGAACATGACGCTGTAGTGCGGCGTGAAACAACGCCAGTTTTCTGGGAGAAAAAAGATTATAATATTGACTTTTTGCGTAATGTATGTTTTTTTTCATCCCAGTCGAGTATCGAGGGCACTGTCTCCTCGAAGCCTGCCGTCTTGCCGAACCGGCCAGGGTGAAGAAACAGCTCACTGCCGTATCAGGTCATCAACATCAGGTAAACGATTCTACAAGCCTACTAATATTATATTCAGTGCATGGTCGGCGCGGTGGCTGGGCAACTGGCTGCCGTGAAACGTGTCGCGGCTTCGATTCCCGCAAGGCACAGGAGAAAATACTATTGTGAAGCAACGTTATGAAATAAAAGTTTTTCTATAAACATTTTTGTATCGGAGAACGGAGCGAGCTCTCGCGCGCGATGCCATGATAGGGTTTTTTTGTTGTCGTACACACGACTCAAGGGCGCTATTGTCGCCTCTCGTTCCAACGCGTGCGTTAACTTATTTGCGGGAAAGGGATGGGAACAGGATTGCAACCACCAGTGATATTACTAATATTACGAAATATTATATATATTCGGACATCCCGGCGTACGGCGAATATCCACCCTTACGTTGTTGAGACACCTGCGGCCCGGACTAAGCGTTTTGCCTCGTCATTTATACCGCGTACATCGAGGGATTGGAACAGTTTGCCGGCTGCAGTCTTTCCGTCCGAATACAATTTAGGTGTCTTCAAGGCTAGAGTGAATAGGCTCTTAATAAACTAGTGCGCCTTACCATCAACGATTGCATCACTGCTTACCATCAGGTGGGATCGCAGTCAAGCACTAGTTTAATGAAAGCAAAAAAAAAAAAAATATGATTAGTATGAACTTTCAATGTTTTATTTCGTTATATGTACTTTCTATGATTATTTAGACACCAGTGGTGTCTAGGTTAGGGTAGGTGTCTAGGTTTTCCTTCAGTGGTGTGACACCACTGACCTACGGTGAAGGAAAACATCGTGAGGAAACCTGGACTTATAATTTCTAATTACAAGTTTGAAATCGCCAATCCGCCTTGAGCGAGCGTGGTGATTAATGCTCAAACCTTCTCCGCGTGAGAAGAGGCCTTTGCTCAGCAGTGGATACTTATAGGCTGTTGATGTGACTTAGATTTTGATTTTTTTTTTCTAGAACTCTCAAGCCTCGACTAGTGGTAGTACTCCATCTCTTCCCGGGGAGTGCAGCGTGGAGGCCCTGGTCAACTTCCAACACGTAGGAACGGGGGACAGGCCGCTACACTGCGCCGCCTCCAGCGTCTACCCTAAGCGGAAACAGGTGAGGACGCGAATTGGATGGGTGACCGTTTTTAGGGCAATACACAAGTAGGCTGTTAGCTTCCAATATATCAGTTCTGTAATCAGGTCGCTTTACTATGCCGCAGTGCAAAGAGGTGAGGACGCGAATTGGATGGGTGTGGTATTTGTAATTTGATTGCATTACGTTTTTTTTTCTATGTGGTAGGATGACGTACAAACAGACGGATTACTTAACGGTAAGGAATCAGCACCGCCCATGGACACTCAATAGGCCATATGAGTTCAACATACGAGTGCGTTGACGACCTTTTTTGATTAGGGATTTGGATATTTAGGGATTAGGTGAGGAGAAGGATTGCCTTGCCCTGCCTAGCCTTCGATAACCTCACTCACACGACGAAACAACGACGCTGTGGTTGTTTCACGCCGGTTTTCTGTGAGGTCGTGGTATCACTTCGGTCGAGCCGACCCATTCGTGCCGGAAAACGGGTCTCCCACACTTAAAATTTTCGAACGAAAAAACTCTGTGTGATTCAACTTGTTGTTTCGTTGTTCCGAATCACAGTTTGGATTGTTTTTTGAAAATCACGGTGGGGCCATGTTAATAAAAAAAACAAATAAATGAATGATATGGTCCTCAGGTAATGGAGATGCTGATCAGGAAGGGTGCCCGAGTGAACGAGAAGAACAAGGATGGCCAGACTCCGTTGCACGTCGCCACCGAACACGCTCACCTAGACGCCATGGATCTTTTGTTGCGGCATGGTGGGTTGCGTTGAATTTGACTTTGACTTTTACGTTTACTTTGTTTTCCCCTTTCACTTTGATATTGTCGTTGACTTTGATTTTCACTTTTTCGTTAAATTTGGTTTCCCTTTGACTTTGATATTGACGTTGACTTTGATTTTGACTTTTTCGTTAAATTTTGTTTCCCTTTGACTTTGATATTGACGTTGACTTCATGTTAACTTTGGTTTCCCCTTTGATTTTGATTTTGTCGTTGACTTTGATTTAAACTTTTACGTTAACTTTGTTTTCCACTTTGACTTGGATATTTTTTTTTTACTTTGATATTGACGTTGACTTAGACTTTTACGTTAAGTTTGTTTACCTCTTTGACTTTGTCGTTGACTTTGACTTTTACAATAACTTTGTTTTCCCTTTTTGAATTTTATATTGATGTTGACTTGATTTAGACTTTGAAATGTTAATTTTGGCTGTGTTTAATGATCTGATAATGAATTTATCTTGACCGTTGAATTTCGCTTGATAATAATTGAGACTATAAGATATAATCAATATTGTTTTGTTGTATTAATTTGACTTTTAAATATTGATATTCTCTTTGACTTTGATATTGATGTTGACCTTTGATCTTCATTCTAACTTTGATCTTCAACTTTGACCATAACTTTACCAATAAAATCCCTCTTTCCAGGCGCGAAAGTAAACGCATGCGATGGCCGTGGATCAAGCGCTTTAGCTGTGGCAGCTCGGAGGGATTCCGCTGCAGCCTGCAGACTCTTACTGGCTTGTGGAGCTGATACCACCACTGACGCCATGTACCCCCAGCCTGATGGTAATGTACCCTGGAGTATTGGTATTTTACCACCGCTTCTCTTCCCATGGGTTTTTTAAGGCGATACATAGGTAAATAAGCAAATGTATTACTGATGGTAAGCAATCAGCGACGTCGGTCGGCCAACATCAGAGAAGTGACGAGTGGATTGTAGGCCTTTTGGTAATTTTTATGGGGAGGCCTAGTCCTTACCCTGGCCAATCCTTAAATATTCGTAACCCCAAAAGGTTGGCAACGAACTCGTAACTCCTTTGGTGTTTCGGGTGTCTATGGGCGACGCCGATTGCTTACCATCAGGTAATCCATCTGCTCGTTTGCCGAGTTCCTATTATTTAACAACCCAACAGTTTACTTTTACACTTTTTCCAAAATTTGAAACCACGCCCCTTTCCAAATAGATGCTTGCGCGAACGCAGCGGCGCTTCGCCTTCTAGAGGCGGCGCGGACTGGTGACGTTGAGAACGCGCGTACCATACTGGACGCGCGACCGAGGCTCGTCAACTGCAGGGACGTCGATGGACGGCATTCCACCCCCCTACATTTTGCTGCTGGGTAAGTCATCGTCATCATCAGACTTTTTTTAGAGAGGGAGTCATCTTAGGATTTACATCTTTGGAGGGCGGGGGGATCATCAAGTTGACTGACTCATCGACTTCTCCAGCTGTCTAGAGGAATTATCAAGGTGACTGACTCATTGACTTCTCCGGCTGTGTCTGGGAGGGGGAATCATCAAGTTGACTGACTCATTGACTTCGTCGGTTGTTGGGAATCATCAAGTTTACTGACTTGTCAACTTCTACAGCAGTGGGGGCGGGGGATCATCAAGTTTACTGACTCGTTAACTTCTCCGGCCGTGTATGGGTGGGGGAATCATCAAGTTCACTGACTCATGGACTTTGTCGATTGTTTGGAATCATCAAGTTCACTGTCTCGTTAACTTCTCCGGCTGCGTATGGGAGGGGAATCATCAAGTTCACTGACTCATTCACTTCTACAGCTTTGGGGGGCGGGGGATTATCAAGTTGACTGACTCATTGACTTCGTCGGTTGTTGGGAATCATCAAGTTCACTGTCTCGTTAACTTCTCCGGCTGTGTATGTGAGGGGGAATCATCAAGTTAACTGACTGATTGACTTCTCCGGCTGTTGTGGGGAATAAATAAATGTGAAAGTTTTAGGGATTTAATGATAGAAGATTTGGGGATTAAAGACTAGGGGAGGCAATCCTTAAGCCCCAAATCTCATATCCTTTAATGAACACCAAGTTTTGTATGTCTCATTATATTAACTATAGATACTTGAATATTTGGAATTTCATCATCATCATCATCAGCCTATTAAGTGCTCATCGCTGAGCAAAGGCTCTTCTCACACGGAGAAGGTTTTGAGTATTAATCACCACACTTGCTCAAGGCGGATTGCCGATTTCAAACTTGTAATTAGAAATTATAAGTCCAGGTTTCCTCACGATGTTTGCCTTCACCGTATGTCAATGGTGTCTAAATAATCATAGAAAGTACATATGACTTGGAAAAATGTCACATTGGTAGTTGCCAGGAGAAGCGGGCGCTTTAATTTCTGGGCCACCACGACACCATTTTTGGAAATTATTTGTATGTAACATATAATATTTTGTTTCAGGTATAATCGTCTTCCCTTAGCTCAGTTACTCTTACAACGAGGAGCCGACGTTCACGCTAAGGATAAGGGGTAAGCATAAGATTAGTAGGATAGTAGGATAGTAGGATAGTAGGATATTAGGATAGTAGGATTAGTAGGATAGTAGGATTAGTAGGATAGTAGGATTAGTAGGGTAGTAGGGTCAGTAGAAATAAGGATATAAGTAGGATTTTTTATGTGATATATCGGCAAACGGGCGACCTGGTGACCTGATGGTAAGCAACCAGCGCCGCTTAAGGATTTGAGGATTGGGGAAGATCAGTTACGTTCCGATAATTATATTAATCCGAGAAAACACAACGCTGTAGTCATTTCACGCTGGTTTTCTGTAAGGCCGTGGTATCACTCCGGTCCAGCCGATTCATACCCAGTTTCTGAACGTCTATCATACCAATACTATGAACGTGAATGGATATTTGTTACTCTTAACTTAAAAACTACTGAACGGATCTAAATAAAATTTGAAACAGAGATATGATTGTTCCATTATTAGAGACAACGATTTGACATTTCGAGTGTTGCAAGTTTTTTCCATTTCATAAATAGTAAAGTCCCGCGACCGGTATTGACCGAAAGACCGAAATTAAATTCTGGACTTCGTGCATTTTAAAAGCTTTATTATTTTTAGCTACTTTCCCTGGTACCTTCTTGTGCTCATACTAATTCGATCGGGTTAAAATCACAATGGTAAGGAGGCAAAAGTAAAATAGTGACCCCCTTTTTAGCAGCTACCAGTCCACGACGTATCATTCATAATTACTCTTCTCTATCCGGGAAATCTCCAACAGCTCGGCTTTCAGCATAGGTTCCTCAAATATAATGTTTTTCTTTTAGTCAGTCTTGGATTTCGCATTTTTATTTTAATTATTATTATTAATTCGACTAAACTATAAAAAACATAACCGCAACGTTGTTTTATTTTGCTCAGGGTATTTTATAAAAAACGATATCGGTATTTTATTTAAAACATCGTACTCGGGCCCATCACTATGTTGAAAAATCTGGCCACATTATTTTGTAGTTTGACATTTGCTGTTGTCAAATTGTTGTCTCTAATTATGGAACGAACTATAGATTATAATTATAGTATGGAATAACACATTACTATTTTTTTTTCTGGTACTGTGGGCAAGGGCGCTGGTAAAGATGGATCATTAATGAGTACCTTTCTCCCCCCCCCCCAGAGGACTAGTCCCCCTCCACAACGCGTGTTCGTACGGCCACTACGAGTTGACAGAGTTGTTGGTCTCTGCCGGCGCTGGGGTCAACGCGGCCGACCTTTGGAGATTCACCCCCTTACACGAGGCAGCCGCTAAGGGCAAGGCGGATATTGTCCGGTTATTGTTAAAGGTTTGTAAATTTCATAATTATTATTTTTATTCATTTAGGGCTGATTTTTCAATAGTCAGATAAATGTTATCTGAGGAATAAAATTGTTGCTGTCACTGTCTTATACAAACATTGTGACGCGACAGCATCATAATTATTCACCAGGTAACTTTTATCTAACCAATGAGCAATTAGCCCTTTTGACTGCACGGTTGGCGTGGTGGCTAGGCAACTGGCTGCCGCGCAACGTGTCGCGGAATCAATTCTCGCACGGAACAACTCTTTGTGTGATCCATATGTTGTTGTTCCGGGTCTGGGTATGATGTGTATGTGAAATTGTATGTTTGTAATCGCACCCACGACACAGGAGAAAATCCTAGTTTGGGAAAACAACAAAAACCAAAACAATAAACATAAAGACAAAGCTTATGCTCGCGAAAAAATTGATTATCATTATCGTGCTGGAACACTACATGCTTTCGAAATTAAAACAGGTTTTGAAAGTAGCTTAAGTTACTCCTTACTACATCAGCTACCTACCAATAAAACTGATTTAAAAAAAGTAACCATGGAGGTTCTTCTCCATCGGAATCTACACTTTGGAACGAGCTAATAGCTTCACGAGACCGACAGACTGACTCTTTTTATCTTTAACCTTTGTTTGACGTTCAAAAGTGCCTGTAAGGTTCTTGTTGAAATAAATGATTTTGATTTCTAACTTTGATCTTGTGATTAATACTCAAACCTTCTCCGTGTGAGAAGAGGCCTTTGTTCAGAAGTGGGCACTTATAGGCTAACTCGCTTTTGGCCGCGTGGAATAGTGACTTCCTGTAGATTTTTGCCATAAAAACTATCCTATGTCCTTTCTCGAGTTCCAAACTTTGTCTGTACCAAATATCACAGGAATCGGTTCAGTAGTTTAGGCGTGAAGAAAAGACAGACAGACAGACAGAGTTACTTTCGCATTTATAATATTAGTTTGGATTTTATGATGGTATGATTTGCTTCCAGCACGGTGCAGACCCGACAAGAAGAAACAGAGATGGTTTGACCCCGCTTCAGTTGGTACGTGCTGGTGACAGCGATACAGCTGACGCGCTGAGAGGCGACGCTGCGTTACTGGACGCAGCCAAACGAGGGGATCTTGCTAGAGCCAGGTTTGTTAAGATTAGCCAAGGTCATCTTAATCGTAAAAAGTACATGCGATTTTCAACCTTAAGTTCTTCTGTTGTTTTTGTGTTCCGCGCGCCTCAAAGAGCCAATAGACCACCACAGACGGGGCCCTATAGGGCTGATGTTCAGCCGGGGTGGAGGGGCAAGCGTAAGCCTCGGTCTAAAGTAGGAGAAGGAATGATGACTGCACGGTTGGTGCGGTGGCTGGGCAACTGGCAGCCGTGCCACGTGTCGCGGGTTCGATTCCCGCACGGAACAACACTTTGTGTGATCCACATATTGTTGTTTCGGGTCTGGGTGTCATGTGTATGTGACATTGTATGTTTGTAAACGCACCCACAACACAAGAGAAAATCCTAAAGAGGGACAACGTTTTATATAAAAAGAAAAAAAAAAGAATGGGGGTGTTTTTAGTCAGTAAGAGTCTGACACTCCCTGTCGCTTCAGCCTGGGCGAGAAGACTTTTGATGATTTTCCCCTGACTTCTACTGTTCTTTGTTTTTTTTTGTGATAGAAAGGCAAACTAGCTGATGGATTACCTGATGGTATGCTCATGATCTCAAAGGAGTTACAAATGCGTTGCTGGCCTTATGGTGATAAGTGGTTTTTCGGATTTAGGGATTACGGAGGGATGGGAAAGATATAGGGAGGAGAAGGATTGAGCGTCCGATAACCTCATCTCAACGTATGAGTGCTTCCCAAAATTCGTTATTCTCAAAAGGCCGGTAAATCACTTATAACTCCTCAGATGGGTGTCCATGGGCGGCGCTGATTGCAAATTACTATTTTATGGCACTATGAGTGCTACCAAAGGAGTTACTATTGGGGATTTGAGGATTGGGGAGGGGGGTAAGGATTGTGGGCCTCTGGTAACCTCACTCACACGGCGAAACACAACGCTGTGGCTGTTTCACGCAGGTTTTCTGTGAGGCCGTGGTATCACTCCGGTCGAGCCGACCCATTTGTGCCGAAGCATGGCTCTTTCACACTTTTTAAGATTTAATCAGTGGAAATAATTTATTTATGACTAAGGGCTCATGTTTCAATGGTTAGATAAAAGTTACCTGGCGAATAATTATGATGCTGTCGCGTCAGAATGTTTGTATAAGACAGTGACAGCAACAATTTTATTCCTCAGATAACATTTATCTGACTATTGAAAAATCAGCCCTAAATATCCATTTTATTTGTTTCAGAAAATTAATAACGCCACAGAATGTCAACTGTAGGGATACGCACGGACGAAATTCGACGCCGTTGCATTTAGCTGGTGAGTCAAAAATTCAAATCCAAAATTCAAAAGTGTTTATTTGCAAGAATTACATTGTTTAATAAGGAAAGGTCTTATATCCTAAAAGTCACTGCATTCAGCCTGCAAACAAGCGTGCAAATTATTCGCTTTTTTACTTTTAAAATTTTAGTCATCACCACGATCACCAGTCGATGTTCAGCCAGGGGTAGCGGGGCAAGCTCAGCAGGAGAGCAGGAGAAGGAACGGGGGAGTTTTCAGTCACTAAGAGTCTGACACTCCCTCTCGCCCGGCCCTGGGCGGGAGAAGTCATTTGATGCTTCTACCCTCACAAAAAAAACATTGCACCCGTGTCTAAATATTTCCTATTCCATTCCTCAGCTGGTTACAACAATCTGGAAGTAGCGGAGGCTCTTTTGGAAGCCGGTGCTGGAGTATCAGCTCGCGACAAAGGTGGCCTGGTTCCCCTGCACAACGCAGCCTCGTACGGTCACGTGGAACTGGCTGCCCTCCTCCTCAGAGCTGGTACACCCCCCAATGCTGCAGATAGGTGGGGATTCACGCCCCTACACGAAGCCGCCCATAAAGCAAGGACGCAGCTCTGCGCGTTATTAGTAAGTTTTTTGTTTTTTTTCTCTCTTCATAATGGTTGGAGAGTCTATGATATAATAGCGGTGGGATTTGATACATTTGTTTTTAAATACAAACCTTCTCCGGAGTTCTACGAGTAATTCAAGACCAAAATTACCCAAATCGGTAAAGGTATTGTTGAGTTATAACTTTACAACGAAAAGTTGATAAAAAGTAGCCTATGTCCTATTCCGGAGTGTACCCTATGCCTGTGCCAAATTTCATCCAGTTCCATCCAGCAGTTTTGGCGTGATTGAGTAACAAATATCAAAACATCGTAACTTTGGCATTTATAATATTAAGTAAGAAGTAAGATGACAATTTTAAATCCAAAAAAATAATTTTGTTATCAACAGCTAGCTCACGGCGCTGACCCTTACCTCAAGAATCAAGAAGGTCAGACGGCGCTGGACCTGGCCGGAGCTGAAGACGTCCGCTCGCTACTCCAAGATGCGATGACGTCAGCAGCCGGGTCCGTCGCCGCCCCCGCCCCCCTACCTCCCCCACTACCCCCTCCTCAGCAACCCGTATTGATGCCCAGCGGAGACACCGTGCCGTTGGCTTTACCGGTAAGTCCTTATCATATTATAAAATACTAGCTTCTCTCGCGTGGTTACACCCGCTGCTCGGCTCTATTTAATCGTAGCGTGATGTTTTATAGCCTATAGCACTCAGGAACATTGTAGCTATCTATCAGTGAAATAATTTTGGCAATCCGACCAGCGGTTCCAAAGATTACCCACTACATACAAACTTTCAAATTTTACCTCTTTATAATATTAGTATAGATTTATTTTATCACTTTGTTGGCGTGATTGTATTGACGTATTGATGACAACTTTCAGCTTTCTAGTGTTAACGGTCACTGACATCGCGTACGGACAGACAGACAGACATGACGAAACTATAGGAGTTTCTAGTTGATTACGAAATCCTAAAAATAATGTTATGGGGTGAAAGAGTTTTTGTTTCAATAAACCTTATCTTTATGTTTTCTACCAGGTGGTACCTTCAAATTACTGGGCGGAAGGTTCTCGAGGCAGCTTAGAGGATGCAGCCGGGAGACCTGCATCGGCCCTGTCCACATCAGAATCCCTGCAGACTTTCCTATCCAGGTAATATACAGACAGATTTTGTATAACCACAGATCGATGAATAAAAGTATAGTTATTTTTCAATAAACCTAGGAAACTACACAATTGCGTGGTGGTCCCTACCTAGGTCAAAAATAAATTAATTCGACGTTTCAATACAATAAAATATTCATAGATCGATCGATCGATACACTAAGTTTAAGCTAATTATTAAGAAATAAGTAAGCTATTTGACGCAAAAATACTATGAAACAATGAATTTATTTTTGCAAATAGGCCATAAAACGGCACTTTTACACAATACAAATTATATGTGAAAAACTAGATGAAGCCGGCATTTCCTATCTGACTACTCTGTGATGAAATGCCAAAACAAACTCAGAGGTCAGTCTCTTTTCAAGTCCAGACAATGTAAAATAACATAATGTGAGAGAACCGTGCAAGTTTATTCTGTAGTGGTCTTTTGATGAAAGAACCACACCAGTTTAAGTGGACCCGTTCTGAAGACAGGACGTTATGACGTCATTACTCAGTTTTTCATACAAATTTAATAGAAAAGTATAGTTTTTGACATTTGGTTAAAAGTATTGAATTTGACTAGTTGGAAAGTACCGTATTGTGTTAATCTGTGAACGAAAATGCTAGCCTACAAGTCTTGTTTTAGGTAGAAATATATGTTGTATAATATAAAAAAAATATCGATAAACGTATTAGCAAACCTCTTTTTTACGTGTGTGAATGATAGGAGAAGGGTTTTTCTTCTAAAAGAGTCTTCAAATAAAAAAAACTCTTTAACAAACAAAGTAAATAGGTGGGTAGGCGTACTCCATCGTAGGTCGCAGCATCGCATACCACCAGGCGTTTTTTTGTGAGAGAAAAATCATTAAATGACTTCTCCCGCCCAGGGCCGGGCAGGAGGGAGTGTCAGACTCTTACTGACTAAAAACCCCCCTGTTCCTTCTCCTGCTCTGTGCCGAGGTCGCGGTACCTCATTGCGCTTACCCCGCAACCCCGGCTGAACATCAGCCCTATAGGGCCCCGTCTGTGGTGGTCTATTGGCTCTTTGAGGCGCGCGCGGAACGCTACGCGCCGTACGCAGGCGTGATTGCCAAATGCCTGTCCATCTATACTAATACTATAAAGCTGAAGAGTTTATTTGTTTCTCCTTAACTACTGAATTGAACAATTTTTTTTTATTATAACTTTCGTGAGACATTCTAAATTAATTATTATGTTTTCGGCTTACTCACGTAATAATTTGACGAGATGCGCGATACGCGACTCGGCGACAGTCGCGCTGCTACAGTCGCCGCGTCGCGTGTCGCGGAATGCTGCTCATGAATATGGGCCTCTAGCATGGCTTGAAACTAGTCGAGTATCTCGTCAATTATTAACTATTTTTTTGTTTAATAGACCATTTTTATTGAGGAAGGCTTTAGGTTATAAAACACACGCTACGATCTGTAGGAGCCGAGCAGCGGGTGAAACCGTGCGATAGTAGCTTGTTAAGATATAAAAAAAACAAATTAACAAAAATACTTTCATCTCTTTCCCACAGCATTGGTTTGGAACAATTAACTCAAGTGTTAGAGCGAGAACAAATTACGGTTGACATTTTATCGGAAATGTCCCACGAGGATCTGAGAGCTGTTGGCGTCGCCGCCTATGGACATAGACATCGGTTGCTGAAGGCAGCCAGGCATAGTCTTCAAGCTGCTTCAGGTAAGATTCAAGCTACATATGTATTTTTATTCTTTCTATGGTATGGATTACCTGATGGTAAGCAATCGGCGCCGCCCGCAATATCAAAGGAGTTATGAGTGCGTTGCCGAAGTTTTGGGGATATGGGTTTCGCATATTTAAGGATTGGAAAGGAATGGGGGGAGGGGGAGGGCCTCCTGTAACCTAATACACACGGCGAAGCACAACGCTGTGGTTATTTCACGCCGGTTTTCTGTGATACCGTGGTATCACTTCAGTTGAGCCGACCCATTCGTGCTGAAGCATGGCTCTTCCACACTATTATTATAATCTGGAACTGAATACGTTCTGGAACTTTGATCAGACTTCGATGGATAGATAGCAATCATTCCATAATTATAAATTGATGATCAAACTGCTTAACTTCTGCCTTCTAGAACCCTAACTTCTGGCCTATTAGAATAAAGACTTTTTACCGGATATATATCCTTCCCCTATCCCTAAATCTCGAACCAGGCCCGAGCGTACGGCGCGTAGCGTTCCGCGCGCGCCTCAAAGAGCCAATAGACCACCACAGACGGGGCCCTATAGGGCTCATGTTCAGCCGGGGTTGCGGAGTAAGCGCAATGAGGCACTGCGACCTCGGCCCAGAGCAGGAGAAGGAACAGGGGGGTTTAAGTCAGTAAGAGTCTGACACTCCCTCCCGCCCCAACCTGGGCGGGAGAAGTCATTTGATGATTTTCCCTCACAAAAAAACCCCTAAATCTCCAAATCAAAAGGCCGGCAACGCACTCGTAACTCCTCCGATGTTACGCGGTGACAGGCCTTTTTTCATCAGTGGACGTCTTCCGGCTGATCGACGATCCATAAGCTGTCTGCCAAGCATACGGATAATAGCAACGGCCACTACGCCCCGCACTTGAGCTGGGGTAGGAACGGGGTAGTTTTAGTCAGTAAGAGTCTGACTCTCCTTCTCGCCTTAACCCTGGACGGAAAAACATTATATGCCAAGCGTACAGATAATAGCAACGGTCACTACGCCTCGCACTTGAGCTAGAGTAGGAACGGGGTAGTTTTAGTCAGTAAGAGTCTGACTCTCCTTCTCGCCTTAACCCTGGACGGAAAAACATTATATGCCAAGCGTACGGATAATAGCAACGGCCACTACGCCCCGCACTTGAGCTAGAGTAGGAACGGGGTAGTTTTAGTCAGTAAGAGTCTGACTCTCCTTCTCGCCTTAACCCTAGACGTCATTTTCTTCCTTTCTTTTTCTCCCATTATAAAAAAATTGTTCTAAAGCTTGTTTTACTAAATGGTGTTTGATGGTGTGTATTCCAGAATGGTACGGCGGCACGACGCTGGTGGAGGTGGCGCCCCCCGCGGAGGGGGAGTGCGCGGAGTGCGAGTACAGCATCGTGGAGCGCGAGATGCAGGCCTCCGTCCGCGCGCATCGCGACCACGCGGGGGGCATGTTCACGCACTACAATGTCGTACGGGTAAGCACAAAGGCCTCGGCAACGGACAGAGGGGGGAGGGGGGGCAGGATGACTGCACGGTTGGTGCGGTGGCTGGGCAACTGGCTGCCGCGCAACGTGTCGCGGGTTCGATTCCCGCACGGAACAACTCTTTGTGTGATCCACAAATTGTTGTTCCGGGTCTGGGTGTCATGTGTATGGGGAATTGTATATTTGTAAACGCACCCAAGACACAGGAGAAAATCTTAGTGAGGGGCAAGTTTTTTTTTTAAAAAAAGGTTTGTCAGTAAAACTCTGACATTCCATTTGAGGAACAAGGGGGTTTAGTCAATAAGAGTCTGACACTGCCCTCCGGTCCCAATCTTAACGTGAGAAGTAGTAGTATGATTTTCCCTAACAAAAACAATAAAAAAGGGTTAAGCGCAATAAGGTGTCGGGGCTGGGCAAGGAAAGGTGGGTTAATAAGTAAGAATCTGACACTCCCTCCTCCTCCCTCCCTCTCATTTCCGCACTACCAGAGAAGTTATAGTCGCCAACCTTATTAGGATTAGGGATTTGGTGATATTTGGATTGGGGAGGGGAAGGATTGGGCTTACGGTAACATCACTCCCTCCCATCCCCCCCAATCCCTGAATCTGCATAACCCTAAACCACAAAATGTCGGCATCGCAGTCTTCCGTTGTTGCGGATGTGCAAGCACGACGCTGATTGCTTATCATCAGGTAATCCGTCTGCTCGTTTGCCGGTCTATAGCATGTTGAAAGCGGCTTTGTCCGCGTGCCATGTTGAGAAAAAGTAGCCTATGTCCTATTCCGGAGTGTATCCGACGCCTATGCCAAATTTCATCCAGATCCGTCCAGTCGTTTTGGCGTGATTGAGTAACAAACATCCAAACATCGTAACTTTGACATTTATAATATTGTTGAGATAATAATAAATTAATTTTGTTTTGCAATCTACAGATACAGAAGTTGGTTAACGGTCGACTATGGGAGCGCTACCAGCACAGACGCCGCGAGGTCCTCGAGGAAGCCGGTGCACACAACGAGCGAATGCTATTCCATGGGAGCCCATTCATTAACGCCATCGTGCAAAAAGGATTCGACGAACGACATGCTTATATAGGTCAGTTATGTATTTTTTAGCGTAAGGCGTGATACAACGCTTTCGTTGTTTCATTGAACGCGAGTAAAGAAAGGGTTCGATGAAAGATATGCTTATATCAGTTAATGATGTTTTTTATTAAGTTCGAGCGTTGTTTCACTCCGCGTGAGTGTTGTGACTGGTTCACGTTCATTCGTTAAGAAAGGCTTCGACGAACGACGTTCTTATATCGGTTAATTATTAGGAAAGAGCTGTGATACAGCGATTGCGTTGTTTCACGCCGCGTATGTCATGTAATTGGTTCACGTTCATATTTGTTCGTAAAGAAAAGCTGGACGAACGACATGCTTATATCGGTCAGTTATATTTTATAATGTGACAGAGGCGTGATATAACGATTATTTAATTCCTCGATTGATTCACGTTTGATTATTTTAATGGGTATTTTTAACGTGTTACCATTATATAATATACGATCTTGTAACACTGCTTTCTCCTTACAGAAATGTTCTTAAAAATGAATTTATATTACCCGCCGCTGGTCGACTCCATTTGATCGTAGCGTGATGTTTTATAGCCTATAGCACTCAGGAACATTGTAGCTATCTATCAGTGAAAGAATTTTGGCAATCCGACCAGCGGTTCCAAAGATTACCCCCTACATACAAACTTACAAATTTTACCTCTTTATAATATTAGTATAGAAAAAACCGCATCAAAATCCGTTGCGTAGTTTTAAAGATTTAAGCGTACATTGGGATATAGGGACAGAGAAAGCAACTTTGTTTTCTTTACTTGTTTGAAGTGTGGGAGAGCCATGCTTCGGCACGAATGGGTCGGCTCGACCGGAGTGATACCACGGCCTCACAGAAAACCGGCGTGAAATAACCACAGCGTTGTGTTTCGCCGTGTGAGTGAGGTTACCGGAGGCCCAATCCTTCCCCTTCCCCAATCCCTCCTCAATCTCCAAATCCCTAATCCCTAAAAGGTCGGCAAACGCACTCGTAACTCCTCCGTTGCGGGTGTCCATGGGCGGCGCTGATTGCTTACCATCAGGTAATCCGTCTGCTCGTTTGCCGACCTATTACATACAAAAAAAGTGTAGTGGTTTTAATTTTTTTTATACATATATAGTGAATTAATCCTCTTTTCATCCAATCAGGCGGTATGTTCGGCGCTGGAATCTACTTCGCCGAGCATTCGTCAAAGAGCAACCAGTACGTTTATGGATTCGGAGGCGGGTCGGGCTGTCCTGCGCATAAGGACAGGAGCTGTTATCTTTGTCATAGGTAAGCGTAACATACTAGCTTTTTCTAGCGACCTCGCTCGCAGTACCTTGGGTAAAAATAGACCATGTGTCCCATGATGAGAGAAAAATAATTGTTTTGGCACCGAAAATGCTGCACTAACTACCGAAGATGTATGTATGTATGAGAAAAAAATTAATAAATTTAAGTATGGGAGAGCCAAGCTTTGGCACGAATGGGTCGGCTCGACCGGAGTGATACTAGATCCATACAGAAAACCGGCGTGAAACAACCACAGCGTTGTGTTTCGCCGTGTGAGTGGGGATACCGGAGGCCCGATCCTTCCCTTCCCAGTTCCTAAATCTCCAAAACCCTGATCTCTAAAAGGTCGGCAACGCACTCGTAACTTCTCCTTTGCCATGCTTTGTCCATGGGCGGCGCTAATTGCTTACCATCGGGTAATCCGTCTGCTCGTTTGCCGACCTATTATATAACAAAAAAAAATTTGGCACCGAAAATGCCGCATATATAAAAATATACAAAAACTTATGCAATTATAAATATGACCAATAAAATTAAAAAGAGAACTCAACAAATTCCCTAATTTGTATGTAATTTCCCTCTTTTTTTGACATCGATTTTTAAAAATTTTTTACATATATTTTGACATTTACATTTTTATTAATTTAGATTCGATTTGTAATTTTTTTTACTATCATGTTTTTAATCTGACATTTTGAGTAGATATTTTGATGTTTGTGATTTTAAATTTATTCAGTAGGTACTAGCTTTTGCCCTCGACTCTGATCGCGTGGAATAGTGACTTCCTGCAGATTTTTGGTATGAAAACTATCTATGAAAGGACATAGGTTCCTCGAATTCCAAACTATGTCTGTACCAAATTTCACACAAATAGGTTCAGTAGTTTAATCGTGAAGAAAAGACAGATAGACAGAGTTACTTCCACATTTATAATATTAGTTTACAATTTCACATACACATCACACCCAGACCCGGAACAACGATTTGTGGATCACACAAAATAGTTGTTCCGTGCGGGAATCGTACTCGCGACACGTTGCACGGCAGCCAGTTGCCCAGCCACCGCGGCAACCACTTTACGTGAACTCTTGACTTTCCCCAGGCAAATGCTCCTCTGCCGCGTGACGTTAGGCCGTGCGTTCCAGTTGATGAGTGCAATGAAGATGGCACACGCCCCCCCCGGCCACCACTCCGTCGCCGGCAGACCCTCGCAGGGAGGGCTCTGCTTCCCAGAGTACGTCGTCTATAGAGGGGAACAGGTAATTCGTTGATTTTTTTTTTCTTATAGACTCCAATTTTTGTCCGAAAATAATCGGGTTAGCTCGAAAATGGTAAGTATTTGACTAGTTGGTCGTGTATTCTCAACTTTTTTTAATATAAAACTGTAACAATCCCGAGTTTGATTTCTGAGTGTTGTTTTGTTTTGTATTATTTGGGTATTTTCGTCGGTCCAAAAGACCGAGAAGAGACCTTTGCTCAGCTGTGGGCACTTATAGGCTGATGATGCAACATATGCCCGAAAGATGTATTTTTTTTTAAACATTGCAACACACTAATATTTCCTCCTGTGTCGTGGATGCGTTTACAAACATACAATTATACATACACACACATCCAGACCCTGAACAACAATTTGTGAATCACATAAAGCGTTGTTCCGTGCGGGAATCGAACCCGCGACAAGTTGCAAAGCAGCCAGTCGCCCAGCCACTGCGCTAACCTTGCAGTCGAATTCAAATCGGTCATAGTATTGATGGTGTTTTTTTTTCACAAGTGTAACTGCCTTATAGTTATCCCCAGTTTGATTCCTGAGTCGAGTGTTATGTATGGTAAATATTGTTTTTTCTTTCCAGGCGTATCCAGAGTATTTAATAACTTACCAAATTGTGAGCGGGGAATCGAACTCAGGTGCGGTGTGAAAGTGAAAATCAGTGTTCAGTATTTTCTGTGGACTGTGTGGAAACACGACTGATAGTGTATGACATTACGTCATAGCTACATAATAATAATAATAATTTGATGGATTCTCTGACATACATACATATACTGTTATACTAGCTTCCGTATGCGACTTCGTTCTGTTACAAGGCAGACCCAGTTTGTCTTTTTTAAAAAAAAAACGAGAAAACAATTTACTGCAAATCACTTTAATAATCACTAATTTAACAACAAAATTTGTCCACTAATGTCCCTTTTAATTACTCAAAATTTAGCAATATGGGTAACGCGGTGGCACTGTGGCGGCGTCCAGAATCTAACTGACTGCATTATGGATTTCAATTTACTGCAATTGTAAAAATGCATACTCAGCGTAAAAATTGCAATGTGCAATGGAAAAATACGCTGTATTATGATAAAAGCTGATATAGGCTCTATTGCCTTGTAATAAGGGTTATAACAGTTCGCGTGAAATAGTGACTTTCTGCAGATTTTTGGTATAAAAACTATCCTATATCCTTTCTCGAGTTCCAAACTATGTCTGTACCAAATTTCACACAAATAGGTTCAGTAGTTTAGGCGTGAAGAAAAGACAGACAGACAGAGTTACTTTCGCATTTATTTACAATCAAATATGATTAGCTTAAAAACTAAAGATTTTGATCTAGATAGTAACGTAACAATATTGCATACTGCAAAATTACAAGTTTTAAATATTAAAAAAGCTCAAAAAGGGACAAAAAGAAACAAGAAGTAGAAACTAGAAAACATAAAGTGACGTGTGTCAACACTGGTGCCTCTCAACAAAAATATGGGTTGATTAAGGTCCTTCAGGCACAGTTTCCCGAGCCTGAAGAATCCACACCAGATCGACATTTTGGTATAAAAACTATCCTATATCCTTTCTCGAGTTCCAAACTATGTCTGTACCAAATTTCACAGAAATCGGTTCAGTAGCTTAGGCGTGAAGAAAAGACAGACAGACAGAGTTACTTTCGCATTTATAATATTAATATAGTTTGGACTAGCTTCCGTACGCGGATTTGTCCTCATAGTAGGTATGTTGATAAAAAGCAGCAAATTTAAAGTAAAAATTATTTATTCCAACTTAACTATAAATAGGTATTTTTGAAACGATATTTTCAATGTGGTAATAATTCATTCTACAACCTGTCTACTATACCGAATTTCAATCAATTAGCTCCAGCCATTTTTGAGTGAAAGTCTTACAAACATACGTCCGTACATTCTTAGAAATTTTCACATTTATAATATCAGTATTATCAATATTAAGCTAAGACTCAAGGCAATATGAACAATTTTAAAATCCAATAATCCCTAATAATAGGTCTTTACCTATGAAATTGCCGTTTTGCATGAAAAAATATACTTAAACGAATTTTTTGATTTGAAATGCGATGAAAATGTAACACTAATCAATAAACAAATGACTACTTTTGGAAAAAGAATCCCATGTTTTTAAAACAAAATTAATTAGCCTTAGCCTAACAAAAAATATTTTGATTTGAAATGGCCAGTACTGCAGAACGGCAATTTCATAGGTAAAGACCTATATAGGTAAGGCCTTAGTCTGCGAGAGCCATGCTTCGGCACGAATGGGTCGGCTCGACCGGAGTGATACCACGGCCTCACAGAAAACCGGCGTGAAACAACCACAGCGTTGTGTTTCGCCGTGTGAGTGAGGTTACCGGAGGCTCTAACGACTTTTCTATTCCCTACGCGAGCAAAGCCGCGTTCGGAAGCTATTAAAATGTATTTGTATGTCATATCAGTTTTAAAATAATAATATACTGAATCCCAGTATGTTTTGTAAGTCAGTGCATTGCTATTGAAACACAATATTTTACTGTTTTAGACCTATAATATAACTACATTTTTGTTTAATCGACTGTAAGGTTTGACCGGAGTGATGCCACGGCCTCATAGACAACCGGCGTGAAACAATCACAGCGTTGTGTTCCGCCGTGTGTTTGATTGATAGTACTGGAGGCCAGATCCTTTCCCGATCCTAAAATATCCAAATCTCTAATCCCCAAAAGGTCGGCAACGCGCTCGTTACTTTGTTTTTGCGGGTGTCCATGGGTGTCGCTGATTGCTTACCATCAGGTAATCCGTCTGCTCGTTTGTCTCATTGAGTCTAAAATTCCGGTGTATAAGTCTATAAACATCCTTAGTTTGGACTCTTTTTTGAGTCCCCTTGTGACTTGAAACTAACTGAGAATACATAAAAAAAATACGAGTCGAATTGTGAACCTCCTCCTTTTTTGAAGTCGGTTAAAAAGCTTTAGATCGTTTCTCAGTTAATTAACGCGAATAAGTTGTTATTTTTAATTAATTTTACTACAAAAAGAATTGCCAACAGTAAAAAAGAGTGCATTTGTGTTTCAATAGTTAATTATCCCGACAAATATTTTTGTGTCAAAATGAATGATGAAGAGAAAAAAAACTATTTTCGATGAATGATAAAAAATTAAAAGTAGGTACGAGTGAATAATTAGATTTATTGTTTTAATCTTAATTTTGTGTATATATGAATGTTTTTTACTATTCTAGTACTGTTTAGATGTAAATTCTAGTTTGTTTTTATATGAAAAATTTTGTTCAACACCGCCACTCTTCACCTGGGTGCAGCGTACCCGACTGCGGAACTTCAAATTACATAGTGACCGGCCAGCACAGCTATCTAATAAACCTGCACCTTTAAAAAATTTAATCTCCAACTCTCCTGTCTGTGGAGGTTATGGTAATCCCTCCCTCTTCATAGTCCAAGGGTAGTGCTTCCACGGGCTGATCTGATAATGTAAAATAAAGTTCCATCTTGCTAACATCGCTACATAGTATAAAACAAAGTCGCTTTCTCTGTCCCTATATCCCTATGTACGCTTATCTTTAAAACCACGCAACGCATTTTGATGCGGTTTTTTTAATAGAAAGAGTGATTGAAGAGGAAGGTTTATATGTATAATGACATCCATTAAATAGTGGAGAAATTTAGTATCAGTAATGCTGATAGTAGTAGCTTGATCACGAATGGGTAGGCTCGACCGGAGTGATACCACGGCCTCACAGAACACCGGCGTGAAACAACCACAGCGTTGTATTTCGCCGTGATAGTGAGATTACCGGAGACTCAATCCATCCTCAATTTGAATGCTAAAATCCCTAATAACCCACAAGCCAGGAACGCACTTGTAGTAACTCCTTTGGTATTACGAATGTCCATGGGCGGCGCTGATTGCTTACCATCAGGTAATCCGTCTGCTCGTTTGACGACCGATAATCTTCAAAAAATAAAAAACCAAAATTGAGTCAAAATTTTTCGTATAACTACAAGATTACAATAATATTGATTAATAGGAAATTATTGTTAATGACATGTATTTTTGAAAACATTAAAAATGATGAAATAAATTCGCTTCGATTTGACTGTTTTTGACGGCAGCGCCTCTAGCGGGGTCCTTTACAACTTATTTACTGTCGAGCTAAAAGTATTATTTATCTATAATATTATTATATAAAAATCAATTCCAATTTTCGTTGGCTAATTTTGGTTTTGAATTATTCGTGGAAGTCCAGAAAACGAAAAAGTACGTAGAGAAAATTTTTAAAAAATCTTGAAAAAGTTTAAAGTCAATACCCAAACGCCGGCGGAGCCGCTAGTATTTGATGAATGGATAAAATGTTATTATAATTTTCAAAAAATATAAGGTAACAAGAAATATTTTACAAAATATTTGAAGAAATAAAAGGTTGTGTAATATTACTTTTTTACTTGACATAGATCTCTGCCCCGCTCCCTAAATAAAAGTGTCGTGATACCATTGTCTGTAGTTTGAAATTAAATAACGAAAAATATTTCAGAATTGATGCCGTGTGTATTTTATATATATAGTTTTTAAAATTGAAGAATTAAATTCTTAAAGATGTTTGGTTTTTTATTCTGGTAACATTATTCCAATACCTGCCCTCCCCTCCCCTCAGAGGTCATGGTGGCCCGTAGGTTAAGGAGACAAAGTCATCTACCAATGTGACTTATTCTTACTTAAAACTTATTTGTACTATTTTGGTGTTAAAGTGTAGGTATTTGTGGCGCATAATATCAACAAAAGAATAAACTATGCAATATTAAGTAGTAAAAGGTACGAACGAAAAGATGTGAATTAAATGCAATCAGCCCATGAATACAAGCAAAGTCACAAGCCAATGCTAGTAATATTTATATATTCAAAATATACAAGTAATACCAAACACGGTATAATTATCTTAACTTTATTTTTTTACTCTGATTGTTTTGTCCGCTAGAGGACGCCACATTAGGTTTTGTGATACATCTTAGAGCAGCGGACAACTAAGACGTTTCTAATGATATGTCTTATGTCGAATTCTGATAAGTAGTTTAGAAGTTACGAAGGAACAGATGAACATACATACATATTGTTACGTGCCTGACGTCACGTTCCTAACTATGCGGGCTTGGGTTACGGGATTGGATGAAATTAAACACTAATACCGGTTTTCAGACTTTCTATTGCACTTAAGTGACAGCGTCCACGGATACGGATAAGTTATCGGCGTTCCTCTCCAGCAGAGTCCGGCCGACTGACACAACTTTGCCGTTCACTGTTCACGCTGACTTAACTCACTTAACTGACTGCACTTCACTATTTCACTGTACTTCACTATTTCACTCACTTTTCTTCTTTTCACTTCTTCCTTTTCTTCCGAATCGCTTTGGACTTAGAACTCAACTGCCAGCGGTGAGCCGCAGTTCCGCTTATATACCCCTGGTCAGGTTCTAGAACATTCAATTTCGTTATTCTTTTTGATCGTCATGCCTCCAGAACCTTCCAATAATTTCGTTATTCATTTTTATTTATTCTCCTTCTCGCTCCTTAATTTTTCATTACTTTCACTCAAATATTCCAGAAAGTTCGACAAAACTTCCATCAACTAAAAAACTTCATGTTTACGGCGGGTCTCGAACTCGGGGTCTCTGTGGTGTAATCCACACGCCTTACCGATTACACCAACTCGTGTTGACAATTCACGACGAAATTTACAATCTCTAGGCAACGTTTGACAACCATCCATTGACGTCATGATGTCAAAGAGTTTTCTGTC